GGCTTCAGTCGAAGCTCTAATGTACACAATTGACGAAGTATACTAACATATGCTGATTTGGATGTACCAGTAACAAGAACGTAAACAAAAGGCATTACTCTACCCTTAATCGATCCATGTATCGTATATATGTAACTGATAAAATATATTAGGTACGGTCCGAAAAGTACAAATCTAAAAATAATTCATTCTTCTCAGTATTCTTATATTCATTACCAATAACGAGTTGATCGAATTGGCTGGAGCTATTTTTTTTTATCTACTCGAAATCGACGAATGATGCGGCATATATTTAAAATCCTAGTTAATTGTCCGGCGGTTGACTATGATATACTTGTATTACGAACAGTGTTTGATATCGCCCGACTTGTTGGCATATTTGATGTCGAAGCCATGTCTCTTATATTTGCCATAACCTTACTCGCTTTAACCTTTCGCACATTTGGTAAATGATTATGCTCAGTTGTCGATAATACAACACCAAAAAAACATGTTTTCACATAAAAAAAACATTTACATCTAAATTTTGATAGTTGCTCGATCATAAAGGCCATAATAAAACATATGCATAAAACAGTGGCAGTGAAAATTTAATTGTGCGATTTTTTAACACTTCAAGAAACTGCAGGTCATTGCTTCTATTGGTCAGATTTACAGAAAACGCTCATTGAAAACTATATTCTATTTCTTTCTACTGACGAAAGGCCGAAGTAACACTAACTAACCGCAAAAGAAAATGTGCGATAATCAGAACCGGATGACATCAAAAACCCTGACCATAGCATTCATTACATTGATCGTTCGGGGCTGGTCCCTAACCTCGTTATCTATGGCATCGAGTCACTTTGTGATAACTTTAGTATGAGTGCCAGGCCACAGCGAAATCGGAGGTAACTATAAAGCTCATGAGCAAGGAAAGACACACTAACCCCACAATCAGTATAATGGGAATGGGTCGTGTACTCTACTGCTGGATAGCTGGGCTCGGTTCATGCGCTGTCACAAGATCCTTTTGGCTCATGATCGATCGTAAAGGATCCAGTGAGCTCTATGCCTTCAGTAAGGCCAGCCTCTCCCTAGGTGTGGGAGTTCTAACAGGCCACTGCTCTATCGTTCCTTTTTGGTTGTCCCGCGTGCGAGGACAAGCCTTAGGCACTTGAGAGCTCACACTTTCAGATATCCCACCGAGCTGGTGGGAATAAAAATTTAACGCATGAGCAAATTTGTAGTGGCCACAAGGCGCTTTGCTGACTTATAACATCAAATACAAGAGTTCGGTTTTCATGGCCTCAAAAAGAACTGCATATAGTGAAGTCATCTGCCATTTCAGACGCAATTGCGTATCAGTTAAAATCAACCTGCAGCAGTTGGCATCTGGGCAAAGCAATTAAAAACATAAATATGTTTTTTGGAGATATATTGGATGGGGCTGATGTTGAGGGCCAAAATAAATAAGAGGATCCCCCTATGCCTCCTCCAAGTCTAGAAGAACTCAAACATATATTTATTCAGAAAACAAGTTTTTGTGTGAATTAAGGAATACGGGGTCGCATGATATTCCAAGTAGATTGAACAATAACAAAAAATATATTGACTTCCTCAATTAAAATTTAAAAAATGTAAGCAACAGACCGCAAGTGCTGCATGCATATATACAATAACCTAAATTATTTTTGTTCGATAAGTTTATTATTTTTTTTATAACAATGACCTCTTTTTGCAAACATTTTATGATATTATCTATATTTGATTTACTTTAATATGGGGTGGTTTACTTCAAACATTATTTTAATTTTATTTTTTGAACAAATTTTTTTGTTTATATTTTTTCATGATTCAGCATTGAAAAATACATACAATTCTAAATTTTATCCTTATACGATCAACCTCTGATTTTTAGTCGAAAATTTTATATTAATCCGTTCCATCCACAGATCCGCAAGATGGCAATGGAATATAATAATTGTAATTGTATAATTTTCATGTATACTTCTATCAATCAATCAGTCATCTCCTCAGGCGTCTTCCGTTGTCAATTCTCAATCGAGTTTTCATACATTTATTTATTTTTTAGTTTTATTAATGTCTCCACCGTAGCAGTGACTATTATACGTATCATTTTTATTCTTCTGTTTAAGTCTCAAATTAAGTTTATTCTCTTAGTGAATTTAGCATTATTTCTTACTGCTGAAAATATCGATAACACAGACATTGACTATTGGGTGGTACCATATTCACTATTATCCTTTTAGTTTTGCATTTCAAAAATGGTCAACGCGTATTTTTCACGAACGAAACAACGCTTGATCGTACTATAATATATGAGTCGTGTATATACATGCCTTCAAACAGAGATAAAGATATGCCCAGCTCATCTCTCCCTGGAAATGAGAGCGCAATAGCTAAACGTCAAAACCTCCTGAACTCAGGCAACTGTCAAAGTTCAGGAGGTCTTTCGTTTAGCAATTGGAAAAAGAGGGACGGCCAGATTGAAAACCTACTGAAAAATATGTCAACAGAGAGACTTGTTGTTGCTATTGAAGATCACTAACAAAAATTGGAACACAATAAAAATGGAATAAAATGTGAAAATGAAATGCATTGTATTTAATGAAATCTTTTGTAATGCCATGCTTAGTGGTTTTAATTTTCGATTAAAAATTATAAAAACCATTTATTAATTGAGAGTTAATACATATATTTTTTTGATTTAGTATTAAAAGTTCAAAAATCAATTGTTTTAATATAATACAAAATCACAAAAAAGGGTTTAAATAGTTGCTGCATATATTTAACGGATACATGTATAGCAATATTTAATTTTAATAAATGTTGGGTATTTTAATTTAAATTCCCAAAAATTATTTTGTCCGATCTGGCTACAATAGAAAATGTTATAAAAAACGATAATTTTGAGGCCCTCTCACACTGGAAAGAGTTGGGCATCCCATTATCCCTTCCGTCAAATCAGGACAAACTGAGTGCCAGAGATAAAGAGATGCCCAACTCGTCTCTCACTGGAAATGAAAGTGCAACTGATAAACGTCAAAACCTACTGAACTCAAGCAACTGTCAAAGTTCAGTAGGTCTGACGTTTAGCAATTGCAAAAGAGAGTTGGCCAGATTAAAATCCTACAGAAAAATATGTAAACAGACAGATTTGTGCTGCTGTTGAAGATCACTAACAGAAATTGGAATGAAAGAAAACACGAAATCAAATGTATGTGATGATATATTTTGTGATGTCATGCTTAGTGGTATTGATTTTCAATTGAAAATTTTTAAAAACATTTATTAATTGAGAGCTAATACATTTATTCTTTTGATTACGTATTGAAACTTCAAAAATGAATTGTCACAAAATCACAAAAAAAAAGAATATAAAAAGTTTCTGCATATGTTTAACGGATACATGTATAATAATATTTAATCTTAATAAATGATGGATATTTTAATTTAAATTCCCAAAATTATTATTTTGTCCGATCTGGCTACAATAGAACATGTTAGAAAAAACGCTGATTTTGAGGCGCTCTCACACTAGAAAGAGTTGGGCATCCCATTATCCCTGCTGAGTGGTTTTATCTGCGACTGTTGTTGGTTAATGTCATTGTTTAAATCTACATGTAACCAATCCTAAGATTTTCACTAATACACACGCAAAACTGTCTCCTTGGTACAGGTTGTTTACTTATATTGTAATACTAAAGTCACACTTGGTACGGGTTGCTAACCAATATTCTACTACTAAAATGTCCAAATGACACAAATCTGCTATAGTGTGTTGCCGTGTTATGTTTTAAAATTTATAACTTTAAGAATGTTTTTATTACATACTCAAATATTTACTGGTTGTTTTAATTCCTAAAGATTAAATTTACATAGCATTATTTAAATTATTATTTTTTGTATTGAAATATTATTAAATTTTTCCAATTTTATCAAATATATTATGGTGTAACAGTGATTTAGAATATTTTGTAAATATTATATATTACTTAGTAAATTGTTTTGATTATTGTTATTGTTCCTGAATTGTACCTAATTTTTATATATGTATATATAAATTATATATATATATTTTTTTTTTTTAATTAATGCAAGTAGATTGCTTTCACTTTTATAATATTTGTTCATGAATACAATTGAATTTTACCTGATTTTTATATATAATATTTATTTTCGTTTTTGTTCAAATCAAGTTGAATATTTCAACTTATATTGTTAATGTAATTAATATTTATGAACCTGATTTTATGTATATATCTTTTCGAGTTATAATTGTTATGAAAAGTAGATTGTATAGAACTTAAATGGGCGATTTAGGCCTCCTGGGGAACCGAACACCCAAAAAAGATCGGTAACGCGCCTATATTGCAACCTCAGAGGTGGTGAGGAAAAGCAATAAATATATAATAATCTTTTGTTTCGAAAATATTCTTGAAAGTTTTCATTAATATTGTCCATTACAAATGCATGTTCACAAACAAGTTGTTAAACTACATTCCTTTTATTTACATCTCTGTGTCAAAAAAGGCAGATTCGATCAGGTGATCACGGCTGTTTCACACACATAGAAAAACAGCTGATTCTTAGGTTACTTGTATGCTTATACAATGATTAATGTTGCCAGACCATTATCATTTCAAGATATACATAAAGTAAATGGACAACAGTATCCAACGAATAAAGATGCATGCCTTGCAATAACCCGGACGTTACACGATCAAGAAATTGCTTTTAAGTTGCAATACATTCAAACTTTTCTAATACCACACTCTCACTTTTTGAATTTGAAAGCCGTCTTAATATCAATTTTCTCATTCAAGTCGAGTGGCCAGATAACGATCAAGTTTTAATAGCTGATCACATAGTTTTGCAAGCAAATGACATGCAATTGTCGGGAATAAGAATATTTCTTTGTATTCATGGATTGATATCAATATATACGTATATCAATTCATTATATTATTAATTTCGTGCAAAATTATCAAGAATTTTAAGCGGTTTCCATGACAACGGTATCTTGAAACTATTATTGATTATCAAGTTGCTTGCAGCCTACGTCACGGCTATCAATTTAAATCAATTTTGACATGTAGTTTGTGTGATCAACTGAAAGAAAGTTCTTGATAGTGTAACTGCAGCGTAAGCTTGCTAAGAGATGACAATCATTGGGACAGTAGACTTGCTAAAGCAGCATTATATGGCACAACAAATTCGTCTATTATTTGCTACAGTACCGACGACATGTTTCCTAGCCCGATCACAAATGTTGTGGGATAATCACAAAGATTCGATGATTGATGATATATTGTATGGACAACGATCTAAGTACATATATCATTCAGAGACGCAATGTACAATGAAGCATTGATGTTGCGAATTTTCTAATTAGTAATTTTTTAGCTCACCAAATCGAAGTGTATCTGATTTAATCAACACAGATATAAATCGTAAACTGCAGTATGATACTGTCGATGCGAGTGTATCTCGCAATGTAATAAATTATAAACAACAAAAAACAATTTACGACCGCATTATGCTTGTAGTTTTAGCAGTACGAAGGAGATTCTCTTTTTTTTGGATGTACCAGGTGAAACAGGAACTACTATGGCACACACATATTCGATGGAGGCATTGGATAGGATATCCAAAGATATAAAAAACAACGACACTATTCGACGGCACTATGTTACTCTTTTCAGATGATTTCAGACGGGCACTTACCGTTATTCCACGTTCAACATATGCTGATGAAATCAACGCTTGCTTTAAACAATTGCGACTGTGGTGTAATGTTGGAAAAATACATCTGAGAGTGAAAATCGGCGTTTATATGCTTCAATATCCATCTGCCGAAAGTTTCTCAAAACAATTGTTAGATATTGGCAATGGAAAACTAGCATGTACATGAAAATACTGGATGCATAAAATTTCTGCACAATTATCAACTCACAAATGTACACACAAAATATCAGATTGGCTGGCAGAAAGATTGATTTTGGCAGCAAAAAATGTGAACGATAATGGATTCATTTCAAAGATAAAACAGTTGTTGCCAGGGGACTTGATATCATACAAATCTATCGATGCTGTTTTCGATGCCAACGAAGCTGTCAATTATCCAATTGAGGTTTGGAATTCATTGGATATGCCGGGTATGTCACCGCATCATTTAAACTTGATGCTTCAGACAGTCACCGACTTTCCTCCTTTCCGTACTTACCGACCGTATAAAACCAAATTTGTCAAAAGTTAGTCAAACCATCAAATAATTAGATAATAGTCGAATTATGAACCTTTTTCCATGTGCATATAGGTAGCTATCAATAATTGGAATTTAATATATATTTAATTTCATTCCTCTTTCAATTATAATTACATCCCCCATGCACTTATAGTGTTAGTTATTTTTAAAAATATTTTCTAAAACTAACGTTTATGGCAATACAACGTTTGCTGAATCAGCTAGTATTTTGTAAAAACAAGAAATTACATTAACTTCGGTTGTACCAAAGCTAGAAAAAGTTTCCATACAAGATCTTTATTATGATAGTTCAGATTGAATGGCTGCTACATGCTATAGGGCTCCGATCTAGAACATTTTTTCGAATATTGTTGCGTTGTCTGATCCAAATTTCGTAAAGTTATCTCGTCGAAGAAAACAGTTTTCCTCACATCCATCACATTTTAATCGGTTAGTTTGTATGGCAGCTATATGCTATAGTGGTCCGAAATCGGTTCCGACAAATGATAATCTTTTTGGATAGAAAAGGTCATGTGCAAAAATTCATAGCGATTGCCCAAAAACTGATGAACTAGTTCGCGTTATACAGAAGGACGGATCTGATCGCAAGCGTAATATACCCTGTTTAGGGTATAAATATATATAGACAAACAAATAGTTACAAAAATTATTTTTTTAACAGATTTTATATTTTTAAAGTTCAATAAATAATTGAAAACAATGTCGTTTTGTTTTAAATGTATTTAATCAAATATTATATTATCAAACAAACGTGGCAACTGTTATGGAACATACATTTTGAATACAGCACTGAAAAAATAAATTTAAAATAGTTTCTGAAACTTATTTACGGGTTAGATAGGTTTGAAATTTTTAAAATAATGGATTTTTTTTTCTCTTATAAAATAGTACATTATGTCTAAAACATTCTCCTAAAATTTCGGAAGTTCTGCTCATCAAGCTACGTCAGTGCAGCGCTTCGCGTTTAAACACGTTTATCGTGAAAAAACATCAGTTTTTTATTTTAAAAAATGTGTACACATGTGAACCCATCTCAACGGCAGTCGAAAAAAAATTTCACTTGCATATTCATTATTTTTTGTATTACTTAACACTTGTTTCATTAAGTTGCGACAAGTTCAAAACAACAAACATTTGGTGTCAATTAAAGGACACCTATTAAGAGGGGAAAGCTACTTTATATCTACACGTACACGCACATGTTCGCATGAACATATGTATGTATATTCATACATACATTGAATGTTTGGTTTCCTTTCAACCCGCTTTTTGAATATCCAATGTTAGTTAATGGTTAGAGAAGGGAACTTTACTGACCACCTTTTGCTAGTTCTTTACTAGCCGTTACTAGCCGTTGGCCGAAGGATAGTATACCACGGCTGGTCATAGACAGTACACGCTTTTATTTTATAAGTACTGCGTCGTGCTTCAACTTGTTTATAGAAGTTTTCGAGTGACTCTGTTTTTTTAATTTGGTGTCGAACGCATTTACAAAAAGTCTGTTTCGCAAAGCTCGATAATTTGGGCAAAATCCAAGTAAAATAAATACTATATTTATTTAATGAAGTGTTTTTCTATTTAACTTTTCAGTGAAATATTACAAACATATTTTACGTTGCAAAAAAATTCTGTAACAAAATTAAATTGAAGACACATGATTATTACATTTATTTGCTTTCGGATTTTCATTCAATGTTTCTAAACTAGTAACAAATCAGTTTAGGTACATTTACACTACATAATACATAAGTAAACACAGGTAAAAACCAAACTGTTATGGCTAGTACTACATATGTAGTATCATTCAGATTTTTCGCAATGTATTGATTTAGTTCCAAATGCATTAATTTTAAATATATTGATTAATATTTGTAGATTTATGGAAAGTTTGTAGAGTTATGTGAACATGAAAGAGTCTGTTAAAAACCCAATTACTTCTTATTAAGTTGTTGGCGTATAATTTTAAATAATCAAATAAGAACGTTGGTTATTTCTGATCTCATTTATATTATATTAAGATTTAAACAGATTTCAATGATCCTCAATATATACACCTGTAGGTCTTATGTAGCTGCAATGAGATGAAGTGATTAACGACAGTCCACCACGATCTGATCGTGAACTATTTATGACAAAAATTACATAGTTGATAAAATCTTACTAATATTTCATAGAAATTATTTGCCAAACAATGTTGCCCAATTCAACTAATTGTTATTGTTATACAAAGCAAAAAACTTCTTTCTGTAGACATACTAATCAATTTTACCATAGAACTATAAAACTCAAATAATTAATGCATGCTCCTCGAAACTGACGATTTTTTTAAATATAGAATCTTATTAACTATAATGTCGTTTAGTTATAAAAGGAATAGCATGGCGTAGCTCACATCTTACACCTGCTTCGTTTATCCCACTACCGTTGTGAAATCGAAGAAATGGTTTAAGCAGAGCTCTCTGACGAAAATAGAACATTAAATTTTTCAGGCCATGAGTGTGGTGCTTTAACTGCACCTGGGTTTGTGCAGTACATGTGTTTAAACGTTATTCAACAATTATGTATGCGTACACATGTTTGTGCAATTGTACCTTTGAAAAACTAACTGGTCACCACGTCCAATATTTGTGTCTATATATATCTACACAGGTATGCATATAAACGTCAAACCAAATAATGGTAAAAATAGACATTGCGATAATTTTTATTTTGCGTCTTAATGAAAAATACATTAGGTTGCGATTTTACCAACGAAGCAAATCCCTCTTTTTTATTCATTATTTCATTTCATTATTATGAAAATTTGATTATTATGAAAAGTTTCCTATGCTTTCGATCGTGGCATATTGTGTCGCAATTTTTCATCTTTTTTCATAATGCTCATATACAGGGACACATCCTGCAGTGAAATCAACTAATTATAAACTACATTTCCACTAGTATAAACCGCAATATCAGTTAGTCAGCTGACTGTATTTTTACCGAGCAAGCAAGTCGTACTTCTTACATGTTGATGTCCTACCAAATTTCAATTGTGACGTATGTACAAGTATATAATATACTAGTAGATACGAACATGCATTGCCGTGGCTATGGTATACAATAAAATATTCAATGTAGTGATTATATTTTTTACGAAAAATGGCAAACCGTGTTTAATTTTAATTGTTTAACTTTTTCTTGTGGTTTAATTTTGAAAATTATTGATACAAATATTTGCTATCGAATTTCTTTTTTTTTAAATTTAGCCAAAATAATTTATTTAATTTTTGAATAGAAATATATTTCTTTTTATGAAGTTTTTGACTTTTAACATAATTGAGATATAAACTATCCTATATTTTAAGTTGGCTCAAATTGAATGCAGAGTGCTTAATTTCACTAATATCGGTGCAGAGTTTACCCCGGACAAAACGTGAAGCGTAATTTTTATATAAGTGTATAGATAATAAACCAATTTTATATCAACGAAAAATACGCATAAAAATCATATTTTATTTATAGACTCAGTCCAAAGCACAAAATAGCGAAAAAGCATACCAGCGGGTAAAAAGGTGGGGTTTCTAATACTTTATACATTTTATTAACACTCTTCCCACTTACTTCTTCAATGTTTTTGAATAATAAATCAAATGCGTTTTAGTATCTTATGCTTTCACCACATCTGAATTAAATTTACTTTCCTGTTGATGTTGGGTGGGAAAAATTTGTTTTTCACGAATTTGAAAATCAATAATGTATAAATCAGTTCATACGTAGACTTTCAGTCAAAAATATTTTTTCAGATTACACCGGAATATATGAATATAGGGGTAGCAAGACTAAACAGTTAATAAGAAAAACAGGAAAACATTTATTTAATGATATAAATAATGAAAAAACGGTTCTTTTGAAATCTGTTGACTACATGCTTAAGTTTTTGAACTTGCAGTACTTCGATGTCAATTGGGTATTTTGTTATTATAATTCACATATCATTCTCATTGTTGCTTCAAAAGAATATATAGCCACTGTAGAATTTTCAAAAAATCTTTATTTTTGCTCAACCTATGCTTTTTAGTCATAAAAATATGTTTCAAATTGATTTGTAAACTTTTTCAAACGACTTGAAGCGTATATAGTTACCCCACTCCGGCTCAGCTATAGGTATATGTGAAACTTTAAATGCGTTTTTCTCAAAACTACTTTTTTCCAATTGGCGAGACAAATAACTGTGACAATGTTTATCCGATCGACTTCAAATTATCTTTAGAATTGGATTTTGCATAGAAATTCGTAGGAAAATTTAATTTAATTCAAAACTTTTTTATGGCCAGTTTTGCATGAAATTGTTAAATAAAAATTTAATTTTTCTATTCAACTGCCTATAATTTTTGAATGAATCAATATATTACAACTAACAATGGCTAAGTTCGAGTGTTACCAAGCATTTTAGGCTCTTGCAACTTGAAAGAATCAAAGCCCGGGAAATTCTTTCAGGTGCTGGCAAAACTTTATATTAAACAAGTAAGGAAGTGCTAAGTTCGGATGTAACCGAACATTTTATACTTTCGCAAAGCAAATGGTATACTCGTTTGAGATTTCTTTGTGGATTGACCGATATTTTCGGTAGAAGGTCAACTATAGGCACTGGGGTCCACATATTCAGTACTTAGCGGCTTGAACAGTTTTGGTTCGATTTAGACAATTTTTGGTCACAAGGTGGCATACTTTAGACATATTATTCACGCAAAGTTTTACTCCCATATAATCATTGTTGCTTGATTTGCATAGTGGAAAGTGAAAGAATCAGATGGAATTGAAAATGGTGTTATATGGGAATTAGGCGTGGTTGTAGTCCGATTTCGCCCATTTTCGCACTATAACATAGAAATATGATAAGAACGTTATGCACCAAATTTTGTTGAAATCGAGTAAGCAGATCCCAAGATATGGGTTTTCACCTAAAAGTGGGCGGTGCCACGCCCACTGACTAATTTTGAACGCGGTTTCTATATAGTCATCTCATACCATCCGAGAGGTAAAATTTAATGTCTCTGGCGTGTTTAGTGCTTGGTTTTTCGCGCTTTTAGTATTTTTTAACAGTACCGTTATATGGGGAGTGGGCGGGCTTGTCACCCGATTTCACCCATTTTCCCACCGTCAATAGAGGTGCTAATTTGCTTCCAGTGAATTTGGTTATTATAGCTTTAGCGGTTTAGGAGATATGCACATTAAACTTATTAGGGGCGGGACCACGCCAACTTTTTAAAAAAAATTTAACTGCAGATGCCCCTCCCTAATGTGATCCTGTGTACCAAATAACAGTCTTGTATCTTATTGCAGAGCTTAGTTATGGCAATTTATTTGTTTTTGATTAATGGCGCTTTGTGGGCGTGGCAGTGGTCCGATTACGCCCATCTGCAATACCAACCGTCTCACGGTATCAAGAAACATTTATACCAAGTTTCATAAAGATATCTTAATTTTTACTCAAGGTAGAGCTCGCACGGACGGACGGACAGACAGTCGCCCGGATTTCAACTCGTCTCTTCATCCTAATAATTTATATATATATAACCCTGTATCTAACTCGATTAGTTTTAGGTGATACAAACAACCGTTAGGTGAACAAAACTATTATACTCTGTAGCAACAGGTTGCGAGAGTATAAAAATGTAGCGAAAAGGTACAACTTCATTGTTCGACGAAGTGGTGAATGGATTACAATCAAATTCGGTATTACATTAACTAATTTTGAAGTCCATAGACTCTCTTAGTTTTATTACTATATTTTACTTCCCGTCAGCGAAAATTATACTAAAATCAAAGAAATGGAAGGGCTGATTGCATTAATTTTTGACATTGTTAAGGTATACTTGAGAACTTATTTTCAATAAATTGTTTATATATACTAGCTAACCCGGAAAACATTGTTTCGCCACATACGTTATTTTTAGAAAATGTGTTTTTTGAGAAAGATTTTTTAAAATAAATAAGTGTTTGGGAGATGTTATTATAACTGAAATATGAATGAAGAGTTGATGACAATTAAAGTATGCTTTATCTAAGTTAATAAATTATTATTTATTAAAGTAATAAATATTTATTAAATTACAATCGTTGATAGCTATCTATTCATCAAAATTAGTTAATTTCTCTACTACTAATTATGCAATAAAAAATAAACAATGATTAAACTCACTACGCAACGGAATGTACAATATTTTTGATCAGTCCGTCTTTAGCGAATATAAACAAACGGGAAAGTTTGCCCACGCGAGAATATGTCACAAAAAGTTTTCCGTGGGAAAAAACATGGTGTACACATATCCAAGTCACAAGTAGACAACCTTTGGCCATGTGACTTATTGATCGTCATTGCTAATACCAATCTAACTGGAAATTGAGAGCGTTTGAATTCAATTGGCCCATCTGTAGGAATCATGAGAATTCGAGGCAGCAATACATTTTCGCGGAACTTGCCATTCAAAATTTTGGCTTCGATAATGTTTTTTATTAATTTTTTAATTACTAATCTTGTGTCTTGCAAAGCC